CCCAAAACGTCAGCCTTCCTGCTCCTCTGATGCTGCTTGGCCTGCTGTGTTCATCCAGCTCTGCACCTTGTTATCTCAGATTCTTCAGCATCTGCAGTTCCTACCGTCTCGGAGGGAAGGGCTTATCAGGTTAGGCATCATTGAATGGCATTGCAGCCTCGATGGGCTGAATGGTTCTGCTCTGACATCTTACGACCTAATGGTTAGGAGGGCAGGAGACTTGAACCGCGCTGTGGAGGCTGGAGGATCTCAAACCAATTCTGAGGGTTAACTTACAGAGGAGACAGAGAGGGGGCAATGCTATAGAGGGTTTGCAGCAGGAGGATGAGAAACAGGAAGAGGACCAAGGGGTGGAAGAAAATTTGCCCCAGTTTAAGACTTTGAAACAGTGATCCACTCACCATCAGTATCCAGGTCAGAGACCATGAGAATGATGTGCTTGGCTACGAGCTGGTAATTACTGCGATATCTGCTCAGCAGCAGCACCGCTAACTCTAAGGACACGCTCCCTTGGAACATCTCTCTGAACCTCCTGACACTCTTTTCCAGCTGGTCTCCAATTGTCCAGAGAGGATAGGAAAACGAACAACAAATTAGCTCAAAGATAGTTAGGGCACAATCCGTCCAAACTCGTACCAAAATAAAGCATCTCAACAGCAGCCCCGCCCCAAACTCAAGCGAAAACACTTAATCACCTCAATTTTTTCCTTCAAGTGTATGTGAGCCATGTTGGGCTTCTGAAAGAAAGTGATCCCAGACGTTCAGAAGCAGCCTCCAGAATTTTAACCCGCACCGTTTCTTGTTTCCCTGTCAGGCTATCAAACGCAATTTCCTGATTGCATTTTTTTTTACTTTCAGTTTCGAAACGTTTGATCTTCAGATTTTATTGGGGATGGGAAGCCACATTTAAAGAGATGAACGACGTTGCAGACGTGACGATCGTGAGAAAATAATGTCTATTTCCCACAAACAAACATGTATAAATAGGCACTGTCCAAATGTTCAACTTCGAAAGGACCCTTGTTAAGATTTTTTTAAAAACTGCAGGAATCAGCAAAGACTAATGATTGCTAAAAGTTGGAATGTGTTTCTTTGATATATAGTACAGTTAGTTTTACAGTATTAGGACATTAACCGTCTTGAGAGGACACTAGAGTAGCAAGCCTATGTCCCACTGCATTTAGTCATTGTGCACAGGGACAGACCCTTCAGTCCAACTCTTCCACCCCAGACCAAACATCCCAAACTGACCTAGTCCCATTCACAGGCATAGAGTTGTACAGAGTGGAAACAGACCCTTGGGTCCAACATGTCCGTGCCAACCAGATATCCTAAATTAATCTGGAGCATTTGGCCCATTTCCCTCTAAACCCGTCTTATTCATATACGCATTCAGACGCCTTGTAAATGTAGTCACTGTACCAGTCTCCACCATCTCCTCTGGCAGTTCATTCCATACATACATCACCTTATGTGTGAAAATGTTGCCCCTTAGGTCCTTTTTAAATCTTTCCCTCTCACCTTAAACCTATGCCCTCTAGTTTTGGACTCCCCCACCCTAGGGAAAAAGACCTTGGCTATTCACCCTATCCATGCCCCTCATGATTTTATAAACCTCTATAAGGTCACCCCTCAGCCTTCGACACTCCAGGGGAAAACATAGCCCCAGCCTATTCAGCTTCTCCCTGTAGCTCAAACCCCCCAGTCCTGGCAATATCCTTGTAAATTTTTTCTGCGCTCTCTCAAGTTTCACAACACCTTTCCTATAGCAGGGAGACCAGAATTGCACGCAGTCTTCCAATAGTGGCCTAACCAATGTCCTGTACAGCTGCAACATGACCTCCCAACTCCAATGTTCTGACCAATGAGGAAAAGCATACCAAATACCTTCGTCACCACCCTGTCTACCCACGACTCCACTTTCGAGGACCTATGCACCTGCACCCATAGGTCCCTTTGTTCAACAACACTCCCAAGGGCCCTACCATTAAGTGTTTAAGTCCTGCCCTGGTTTGCCTTGCCAAAATGCAAACCTCACAGTTACCTAAATTAAACTCCATCTGCCACTCCTCATCCCATTGGCCCATCTGATCAAGGTCCTGTTGTACTCTGAGATAATCTACTTCACTGGCCACGACACCATCTATTTTAGTGTCATCTGCAAACTTGCTGATCATATCTCCAATATCCACATACAAATAATTTATATAAATGACAAAAAAGCAATAGACCCAGCACCGATCCATGTGGCATACTGCTGATCACAGGCCTCCAGTCTGAAAAACAATCCTCCACCACCACCCTCTGTCTCCTACCTTCAAGCCTATTTTGTATCCAATTGGCTAGTTTCCCCTGGATCCCATGTGATCCATTCTTATGAATCAGTCCACCATGCGGAACCTTGTCTAGCACTTTGCTGAAGTCTATATAGACAATGTCTACTCTTCTGCCTTCATCAATCCTCTTTGTCAACTCTTCAAAAAAACTCAATCATCCAAGTGCATTTTGATTTATTTGCAATTTGGAAATATTTTTAATACGTTCCTGGGATGTGGCCATCACTGACATTTATTGCCCATCCCTAATTGCCCAGAGTGCAGTTAAGAGCCAACCACAACCCGGTGGGTCTGGAGTCACATGTAGACCAGATTGGGTGAGGATGGCAGATTTCCCTCCGTAAAGGGCATCAGAGAATTGGGTGGATGTTTCGTACATCATACGTGGTTACATGGTTGGCATTAGGCTAGATTCTTTCCATTTTTTTGTTTAAAAATTGAATTCATGTGTCACCACCTACCATAGTGTCTCCAGAGCCATGTCTCTGGAACGTTAACCTGAGGTGCTGGGTTACCAGTCCAGTGGCATTACCATGCAGTGTTGTTTTGACTCACTGGGACTTTGTTATTGTTGCAGGTTATCTCTGACACACACATTGAATTATGACAAAGGGGTCTAAAGTTTCCAGGAAGAGCAACAGAGACTGGGGTGTGTCAGACAAATTGGTCCAGACAATCACACACCCCTCTCAATAAGGGTACAGGAGGAAACCATTTGCTCCATCATGTCTGAATTAGCAACTCATCTGTTGCCCTTCCCTGTATTCTCCTCCTAACCCACACACTCCTCCGTTACAGATAACAGTCAAGAAAGTGTGTGTGTTTGTGTGTGTGGTTGCGTGTGTGTGTATGTATGTGGTTTTCTGTGTGTGTGTAAGTATGTGGTTGTGTGTGTGTGTGTGTGTGTGTGGTTGTGTGTGTGTGTATGTATGGGTGCATGTGCGTGAATGTGTGTGTGCGTGAGTGTGTGTGTGACTGTGTGAGTATAAATGTGCATGAATGTGAGTGTGTGTGTGCGTGTGTGTGCGTGTGGTGTGTGTGTGTGACTGTGTGTGTGTGTGGGTGGTGTGTGTGTGTGAGACTGTGTGTGGGTGAATGTGTGTGGATGTATGTGTGGGTGAATGTGTGTGAGTGGGTGTGTATGTGAATGTGCGTGTATGTGAATATGCGTGTATGTGAATGTGTGTGTGTATGTAAATGTGTGTGTCTGTGTGAATGAGTGTGTGTGAGTGTGTGCGTGAGAGAGAGTGTGTGCATGTGATTGAATGTGCATGAATGTGTGTGCGTGTGAATGTGTGTGTGCGTGAGTTTGTGTGTGTCTATGTATGTGAATGGATATGTGATAATGTATGTGTGTGTCAGCGTATGTGCGTGCGCGTGTGTGTGTGGGTGTGTGTGTGGGTGTGTGCGTTTGAATGTGTGTGTGTATGTGTGTGTGTGTGTGTATGTGTATGTATGAGTGTCTGTGTGTGTGTGAATATGTGTGTGTGAGAGAGAATGCGTGTGTATGAATGAGTGTGTGGGTGTGTGTGAATTTGTGTGTGTGAACGTGTTTGCGTGTGTGAATGTGTGTGTGGTGTGTGTGTGTGAATGTGTGTGGATGTGTGTGAGACAGTGTGTGTGATTGTATGTGTGTGTTGTGTGACTGTGTGTGTGTGTGAATGTGTGTGTGTGAAATGTGTGTGTGCATGTGAATGTGTGTGAATGTGTGTGTGAATGTGTGTTGTATGTAGATGTGTGTGTGTGTGAATGCACGTGTGTTTGTGTGTGTGAATGTGTGTGTATGCGAATGTGTGTAAATGTGTGTGTGTAAACGTGTGTGTGTATGCGTGTGAATGTGTGTGTGTGTGAATGTATGTGTATCTGTGTGTGTGTGGATGTGTGTGAGAGAATGTGTGTGTATGTGAATGTGTGTGAGTGTGAATGTGAATGTGTGTGTGTATGTGATTGTGTGAATATGTATGTGTGTGAATGTGTGTGTGAATGTGAATGCGTGTGCATGTGAATGTGTGTGAATGTGTGTGTGTGAATATGTGTGGATGTGTGTGTATGTGAACGTGTGTGTGCGTGGATGTGTGTGTGAATATGTGTGGATGTGTGTGTGTGTGTGTGGATGTGTGTGTGTGTGCATGTGTGTGTGTGCAGTTAGACTCTCTCAGTGGATGTGAAGGTGACAGCTGCTTTGAACCTGCTGTGTGTATGATAGTGGCTCCTTGCAGAGATCAGCAGGTGACCCATGTGATATCTCCCAGTCATGCTTCTTCAGGGTACTGACCGTTCACAGCAGTTTGATTTGTTTCCCCATGACAAGGTCAGTGCTGTAGCCTGGGCAGTGGGTTTTGGGAACATAGCTGGATTCTCTGAGCTTCAGGGTGCCACTGACTGTACACTGTACACAGTGAGGGCCATACCACAATGTGAGCTCATCAATGGGAAAGGCCACTTCCTGGAAGGATGTGACCATTAACCCTAGCAGCTGTCATGGTTCCTATATTTCTGGGGCACTCTCAGGTACCCGGTGTGCTTGAAGGTCCAGTTGTACGGGTACTGAGAGACAAGGGCTACCCATACTAACTTATGGCTCATGACACTATTGCACAACCTCCTGGCCTGATGGGGGAACAGATATAAGGTCATGCAATGCTGCCTTCTTGAACCACTGTTGTGGGTAGACCCACAATGCTCTTAGGGAGAGTATTCCAGGATTTTGACCCAGCAACAGTGAAGGAACAGCGATATATTTCTAAGTCAGGATGTTGAGTGGCTCGGAGCGGATATTGCAGGTGTGCCCAAAGGTCTGCAGCCCTTGTCCTTCTGGATGGAAGGGGCTTTAGAAGATGCTAAGGATCTTTGGTGAATTTCTGCAGTGCATCTTGTAGATAGTACACACTGCTGCTACTGAGCATCGGTAGTGGAGGGAGTGGATGCTTGTGGATGTGGTGCCTATCAAGTGGGGGCTGCTTTGTCCTGGTGTTACAGATATCAAATTGCAAACAATTGTGCTGTAAATGAGCCCTTTACTTTCTAAGATGCAAGGAAGTTGGGACCCCAGTAATTAATTAGCAATTTTACTTAGATACAAGGCTCATGTGATTCTCATTGCCATGGTGAAGCAGGTAGAGGGCTATTTTGAGACCAGTTGCACCCTTCTGTATCCATGGAATATCACAGATAGACAGATGCTTCAGTTTTGTCCTGTGTGTCTGCAGTCGTCTGAGAGGTAGAAACAGCAAAAGGTGCAAGCAAAAACTGAAAGAACTATGGATGCTGTAAATCAGGAACAAAAACAGAAGTTGCTGGAAAAGCTCAGCAGGTCTGGCAGCATCTGTGAAGAAAAATTCAGAGTTAATGTTTCGGGTCCGGTGACCCTTCCTCAGAATTGATGGTAGCTGGGAAAATATTGTTTTATATGCAGAAAATAGTGAGGGGGAATGGGGTAGAGAGTAAACGATAGGATAGAGATCAAAGAGAGAGTAGAGCAGTTGGATAGACACAGGAGTTGATAATGATCAGGCTGGGAGGGTGAATAGCTGTTAATGGGTACTGTTAGTGACTAACAACAGGGAGTGCTTTTCCAGCAACTTCTGCTTTTGTAAAAGATACAAGCAGCTTGGCTTGCAAACTAAGCAGAATTCCTGCTGACTCCACATAACAAAGTTGGGAGCTTGCATTCAGTATGAAGACCCAGTTCCTGAGGAAGGTGCAGGATTTGCCTAACTTTGTGGCACAGTGATGATGTTGCTGACTTAGCTATTCCGAGGCACAGACTAATGCTTGGAGGCTGAATTGGAATTTGAAATTCAATCAATAATTCCAAAATATAAACCTGTTATCAGCCAGGGTGACCATAATAACCATTATTGAGTGTGAAAAATACCCACCTCATTCACCAATCTTCTTTAAGGAAGAGAATCAGGTGACACCGAAATTGGAGGTGTAGTGGTCAGTGAAGAAGGTTACCTCAGAGTACAATGGGATCTTGACCAGATGGGCCTATGAGATGGAATTTAACTCAGATAAATGTGAAGCTTATAAAATCATGTGGGGCATGGATAGAATGGATAGCCAAGGTCCACAACTAGAGGGCATAGGTTTAAGGTGAGAGGGGAAAGATTTAAAAGGGACCTAAGGGGCAATGTTTTCATACAGAGGGTGGTGTGTGAATGGAATGAGCTGCCAGAGGAAGTGGTGGAGGCTGGTACAATTACAACATGTAAAAGGCATCTGCGTGGGTATATGAATAGGAAGGGTTTAGAGGGATATGAGCCAAATGCGACTAGATTAATTTAGGATAACTGGTCAGCATGGACAAGTTGGACCAAAGGGTCTGTTTCCGTGCTATACAGCTCTGTGACTCTATCCTCCATCTTTATCTGGTCTGACCTATACGTAACTCCAGACCCATAGCAATGGGTTTCTTTTTAAATTCTAAACAAGCAAGAGGTCCCATCAGTAAATATTGCAGTGGTGGGATTCGAGACTATACAGAGACTGGAGCTGAAATCCAGTGCATTACTTCTCTAGGCCATGTGACAACATCAATGGTTGTCTCAGATACGGCTTTCTCCGGTATTGCTACCGCAGCACAACATGAACAATGTTGTAAGAAAGGGCCTCAGGGTTCCCCATCCATTTGCTTAACTGATCGGGTGTGCCCAGCCTCAGCATCAATTTCCTACAAGATGTCGATAGCCCTTCCATTGAACAAAAATCAATGGCAAGCTGAACGTGTCTTTTGAAACATGCAGCATCAGGGAGAGAGGTCCCTGTGTGGAAAGGCGGACGATGATGGCGTGGGAAGCAGCGAGGCCAAGTAAATGTTGAAGGAGGAGACGTCCAGTGGCAGTAGAAATGCCAGGAGGAGGCGGACATGGCTCCATCCCAGCCCATGGTCTCTCAGTGGGTGAGGAGCAGGTGCCAGGCTTAATGCCCCATCCCAGACCCATGGGCTGTGTTGTGGCTTTGGGCCCATAGCTAGGCCTGGGCACCTGCCAATGGAGCTGGACAGGACACTATGACACCAGCACAGTGGCTTCAATGAAGGCATCATCATAGAATCCCTACAGTGTGGAAACAGGCCCTTCGGCCCAACAAGTCCACACCGCCCCTCCAAAGAGCATCCCACCCAGACCCATTTCCCCAACCCCTGATTCCCCCATGTCTAACCCACCTAACCTAAAGAACTCTGGGCATTATGGACAATTTAGCACAGCCAATCCAACATCTTTGGACTGTGAGAGAAAACCCACACAGACACAGGGAGAATAGGGAAACTCCACACAGTCACCCAGGGCTGGATTTGAACCCAGGTCCTTGGCACCATGAGGCAGCAGTGCTAACCACTGAGCCACCATGTCACCCCATAGTCCAGCACTAATACCACTAGGCCATTGCCTCCCAGGTCGGCTCAGTGTGAACGTACGGGGCTGGCAGTATCAGTGGAGGCAGGATGGTGCTGGAGAGTGATGATCCTTTCCTCCACCAGTGGCCCGTGTATGGCCAAGCGCGGTTACAGTAGTGCCTTCGCTTCAGGGACTCCAGGCATCAGGACGGAGGAGCCCAGATCCAGGCCCACGGCTGAGCTAGAAGCAGGAATTGTTCCAAAGACCACCTACTTTACTCAGCTAAGACTATAAGGTGAACTTTATTGTTTTATTCTTCCTGGCTCTATATTCTGGTTTATTTTCTGTGTTTTAAGGTGGCACCAGAGAGTGATGAGACTAACCAACACTTTTTGTTGTATGTATAAATGAATACACGTAACTATAAATAAATCAAATCAAATGTCTACCCTCGGAAAGTGAAACTGATTGGGACTCAGTGCGGCCAATTTTCAAATCTTTAGTGTCTGCGATTTCAGATTATAATGTGTCTCAAGGTTGCAAGAATTCCAGGATTAACAGTGTCAACTCATCTTTTCAAATCCAACATCGAGTGATCTTTCTGACAGCAATAAAACACTTCCTGGTGACACAAGTTTTTTGGGTGAGTTTCTCTTATCAAGTGTTGTCATGTACGTTTCTCTGGAAAAGCAGGAGTCTGAACCTACAGGGATGTGTTGTGAAGCTTTGTCTTTTTCTAAAACCAACAGTGAAGCCTTTTTGAATGTTACTTCAGCTTCATTTATAAGGTAATAGGACTAAAATAATTATTAGGGCAGTGTTGCTTGACACAATGCCTTCACAAAGATACAGGCTGTGGAGTTTAGAATGAAAACTCAGTTTTCTCGACACTGTACAGTTAGAATTAGGGCAGGGGGTTGGAAATGCATTGGATGGGGCCTGCCAAGGTGATGTAAATTGAAATTGAAAAGAAAATGCATCTTTATGCTGTTAAAGAGAGAGACGTGAAATTGAAGCAATTCATCCTGCACTCATCTGGACTGACACACAAGAAACTAAACTTGGAAAGAGAACAGCAAGCTATAAAGCAGGAGCAGAGGGGGGTTATTAGTCGGATCGCTATTGGCGCAGAGACGCCACAGTTAACTGTCAATCTTTGCTAGCTGACTAACCTCAGGCCAGACTCTGATTGGTCAGGGTGTTACCATGGGGACTGCAGCAATTGGCAGTCTCCAAGACCTTTCTCTCAATGAAAAATGCATGGATGAATTCCTTTTGCACGGGGTTGACTCTTAACTGTCCCCTGAAACGACCAAGCAAGTCATTCAATTCGAGACCAACTTGGAATGTGCAACGAACATCAGTAATGTCAGACAGAGAAAAACAATAAATCCCAGATAGGGATGTCATTCAGTCCAGCCCAAGCCAAAAGCGCAGAAAATTGTGACTTGTGTTAATTAGCATTTAGTTATCTAAAAGGGTATGTTGGCCTCTCCCAAAGAGGACGTCGAAAGGTAACAACTCCAATAATCCGCTGCTACTCTGCTTTAAGAGTCAGCCTTTGCCAAGTGGCAGCACTTTAACCGCTGATTCAGCAGGTAGGTGGTTCAAATCCCACCCCTGAAGTAACTAAGGCTGACCTTGTAGCTCAGGGAGTGCTACACTCTCAGAAACACTGCCTTCTGACAGAGTGGCCCCATCTGCCCTCACAGGGGAAAGTAAAAGATCAGTTGGCACTATCCCAGAAAAGAAGAGCTATATTCTCTTTGCTGCCCCAAACTATTTGCAACACTCAACCAGCCTTGTTAGAACAGATTATCCAATCCCCATTGTGTTGCTGTTCACACACTGACTGTGGCCAATCCCACACTATGACAGCTGCTACACTCAAAGGGTCACTCCGTGATCCTCCCCAGCCCTGGGGAAGGGTAACCAGATCCAAAACGTTAACTCTAATTCCTCTCCAGAGATGCTGCCAGACCTGCTGAGCTTTTCCAGCAACTTCTGTTTTTGTGTCGAGGATCACTTAGCTTTGCTGAATTGAGAAGAGAAAAATGCCACACAGTTGCACAAAAAAAAGTAAGCATTATTGGCAGGAGATAGATTTGAAAAAAACAACCAGTTGAACCATTGCCCAAAACAAAACCAGGTTTTTGTTTTCCCAATGTGCAGCAGTACCAATGAGAGTCAGAGGATGGCACCAGCGAGCTGGTGAGCTCAATTGCGCCGCCAGTACACTGGCAGGCAGACACAGGTACTGCAGCATGAACTTTATGAGCAGAACTTATGGAACATGGATTGAAGGAGAACTGTAAAACACAACGAATACAGTTCGTGAACGCAGGGTCGAGAACTGCAGCTGCACCTTCTAAACAGGAAATGGCAAAGAGATTGGTCGCATTTTCATTGCTGTAGCTTTGAGGGAATAGTAATATCCAGTCCATGTGGCCCAGTGGATTCCATTGGCATAGGAGGAATGTGCTCCTTTTAAGTAAAGACCATTGATGTTTGCTGTATGGCATGACTTGTACCAAAAAGCCCCAGAGCATTTCTCTGCACAGTTCAGGGGAGCCTGGTGATTTCTGTCGAATGTACTGAACTTGAGTCCATTATGATAGGCAAGAGAGTCACCTGCAATAAATCACACCAGGCAGACTGGTTAATCGCAAAGGAAAGAGCTCATTTTAATCTGGACGCAAGATTGATTTAGCCTGTTCCTCCTCTTCTCCGACCCTGCCATGGGAAGGCTCTCATTCCCCATTGGCATTCAGCTATCGGCCCCCACTCTCCATATCATATGGCTATTCAATCATGAGGTGCATCACAGCTGAACCTGGTGAGGCATCTTCTGGAGTACTGTGTCCAGCTCTGGGTCTCCCTGTTATAGAAAGGATATTATTAAGCTGGAGAGGTTTCAGAAGAGATTTACAAAGATGTTGCTGGGAATGGAGGGTTTGAGTTACAAGGAGAAGCTGGGACTTTTTTCGCTGGACGTTGAGAGATGACCTTACAGAGGTTAATAAAATCATGAGGGGTAAGAGATAAGGTGAATGGTCGGTGTCTTTTCCCTAGGGTGGGGTATTTCAAGACTAGGGAGCATATTTTTAAGGTGAGAGGAGAGAGATTTTAAAAATGTCATGAGGGACAATTTTTTTTTAACACAGAGAGTGGTTTGTGTGTGCAATGAGCTTCCAGAGGAAGTGGTGGATGCAGGTACAGTTACAATGCTTACAAGACATTTGGATACGTACAAGAATAGGAAATGTTTCAAGGGATACGGGCCCAGTGCTGGCAGTGGGATTAGTTTAGTTTGGGATTATGGTCGGCATGGACTGGTTGGACCAAAAGGTTTCCATGCTGTATGACTCTATAACTCTCTTCACTCAATGTTTAAGAGCTACACTTTCCAGCAGAGATCACTGGTCCACTTAATTCACCGAAAAATATCTTTTCTATTATATATCCCTAAACATGAGGGAATCCCAAAGACAACTAGCATTAGTGACCTGGAAACATGGCTACACCCAGTCTGGATAGAATTAAAAGGGGGAATTGCACAGATGAGATTTCTGCTCTTGGAGGATCTGCAAGGTCAATCTCAGCAAAATTTATACTCCTCAGAGAAAGAGCCTTCAAAATTGGACAGGATGGTCAATGAGGCCGGTGAGGGAAGGTTGTTAGACCTACCACAAAACACCCAGCTCAACACCAATCGAGGATGTTCCAAGCTGTTTAACATAAAACTACACAACACATTTGCATTCACATAGCAATTTTCAAAATGGTCCCAGCTGCCTTTCTGTCTGTGGAGTGCAGTTGAAGCATAGTCACTGTTGAGTGTGGGAAACACAGCAGCTAATTCAGGCACGGCAAGCTCCCACACGTATTACAATATGCTGCACAATTCACAGAGCTCCAGAGAGAACACCTCCCCTTTTTCTTTGTGATAATTCTGAGCGATATTTTACGTGTACCCGAGAACATTTAACAACCTGTCTGCGAGACATCACCTCCAACAGTTTGATGATATCTCAGTGCTGCCCCCAAGTGTCCTCACGTTTGTCTCAAGGCTCTGGTATGGGATTTGAACCCAAGGCCTTCGGACTCAGAGTGAGTGCGTTGCGTGTAGGAGGTGGGGTTTAAGGAGAATGCAGACCAGCCTCTGAGGTACACCACATGCTCTGCTGGAACTGCAGCTACTGACAGATCATTCTGCGTCCAGTGTTAATAATGTTTGAAGACAGACCTTGATGTCTGGCCGGAGATGATCCAAGTAGACAAACTGAAATAACTCCACAGAGGCCGGTATCCCTTCACCAAGTCACCCAGTGTTTACATGTGGAGAGTCCTCGACACTGATCCAGTTCCCTCAGAGCCGGCTATCAGAGTGAACAGAGTGTCTGACGCTCCTGTTCTTACCTGTCAGCCAGGGCTCCCTGACTGGATCAGATTAACAGGCCCAGTAGGGAACTCCTATTCTATGAGGCTCATCTGACTGACCTTGTTATAATCAGTACACAATCTCACAGTGAAACACTACCCACTGAGTCACGGCTGACACCCAGTGAAGGTGAACAGGAGTAGGCCTAAAGGATCTCCTGGGCAGATAAATTACCTGCTCCTCCATCAATGAAGTGCATCACCTGGAGCCTGTATCCATTTTCCTCTGCATTAATGGCATTGGGTGACAGAGCAAACAGCCTGTACTTTGCGTACACGGTTTTATTCTCAAAGTCTTCCAAGTCGATCCTCAGCTCATACTGCCTCCTGGCAGTCAATGAGTGTATGTTCTCCAGCCCTGCAGGGAGTGGAGAAAAGAGAGAACTAGGTGAGAGGGAACGGAGCTGGGTACTCAGACACCGGCCAAGAATTTTCCTTCAGATGCCATTCTTTGCCAAAAATTTTGGCATAACCTCCCTGCTCTTGTTCTCTTATTAATAAAGTCTAGGATACTTTGTTTTATTAACAGCTCACTCTAGCTGCACTGCCATCGTTAATGACTTATGTACAATGGTGTTTCCAACTGCCAGACTGGAAAGAACAGACAGCCCCTCTAGAATGGCAGCGGGGAGAGAGGACATGGCGACAGAGTATGTAACAAGTAAAGCTAAAAGAGAAGGAATGGGAGTGCATTCACATTCTGAAGGTGTTGAACTCAATATTAATCCCAGAAGGTTGTAAAGTGCCCAGTCTAAAGATGAGACGTTCTTCCTCCAGTTTTCATGTGATTCACCGAAGCACTGCGGCATGCTAAGGACAGACAATCTCAATATGACGTCCCAACTCCTAAAACACAAAGGTCTGAGCAATGAAGGCGAGTGTGCTAAACACTTTTTTAACCACCCTGTCTGCATGTGACACAAAGAATTATGAATCTGAACCCCTAGGTCTGTCTGTTTTACAACACTACCCAAGGCCCTACTTTTAATTGTATAAATCTTGCCCATGTTTGTTTTACCAAAATGCAATACCTCACATTTATTTGAATTAAACTCCATCTGCCACTCTTCAGTCCATTGAGCCAATTATGTAATTGTCTCTAGAAATTTCCTCACCACTGGAAGTTGCACTGATTGGCCTACAATTGCTGGGGCGATATTTACATTTTTCTGAGCAAGGCTTGCGATTTTCCATTCCTCCAGCACCAACTCCCAAATCCAGGGAAGATCCAAAGATTACAGCAAGTACAATTTCCGCTCTCGCTTCCTTCAACATCCTTTGATGCCTTTCATCCAGTCCCAGCACACTCTGTCAACTTTAAGTACTGACATCTTATCCCATTCCTCCTCCTTAGCAATTTTAATTATCTTGTTAACTGTAGACCCAAAGGAAGTAGGCTTCCTTTGGTGGTGCAGTGGTCATTACCCTACCTCTGAGCTAGGACGCCTGAGTTCAAGTCCTGCCTTCTCCAGTATCTGCATTGGCCTGATGGGATTTGAATCCATGTCCTCCGATGATGAGCCTGGGCCATTTGAGTTACTAGTCTCTTGTCATCGGGGCCAAGCTGCCATCTTTCCATCTACCTGACTGAACCTGCAGTGTGACCACTTCCCTGAAGCTACTACCTGTTATGCTCTCTGCCCTCTGTATGCTCCTCAGTGCTTCCAATTCCTGCTCCAACCAATCTAAGTGGTCAGAGAGAAGCTGCAGCCAGATACACTCCACCATATTCCCACACTTAGCTCAACTCCCAGCGTTTTCAATCTCTGCAGCTGGCCTGGTGGGATTCGAACCCGTGTCCCCAAAGGATAAGCTGGGGCCTGGGCCATCTGAGTTAATAGCCTCTTGTCACCAGAGCCAAAGCTGCCATCTTTCCTTTGGCAGCGCGCCTGCGTGACAGGACCTGTCATCCTAAAATGCAGTTTATTTTGTCTACAGGAGAGCCCAGATGCACAGCAATGTGGTTGCTTCTACAACTGGTCTCTGAAGTGACTGATTCAAGGGAACTAGAGATGCAAAACAAACGCTGGGCTTGCTAGCAACACCCAAATCCCATGAATGATTACAGGATTTAAAAAAGGCTATTTGCTGCTTCAGGGCATGTGTGATTGCAAAAATCCACTCTTAGAATTCTGCAGAAAGGGGAGTGCGAGAGTATCTCCTTTGTGTTTTGATGTGTTACATCAAAGGTTGGCACAGCAACACATTTTTAAGGAAGAGATACAAATTAAATAACAAGAAACTAGACAGCCAAAACAAAATGAGAAAATGTCAAAGATGATAAAACAATTGTCCTATGCCCTAACATTGTTCTAGGTTTTACATTTTTCATAAAAACCTACTGACTGTTTCTGACTCTGTCATTGCTGTGACGCAAATTTCTTTTGTTTTTAAAAAAAAATCCAGTGAAGCTAGCAATGATCCAAAATTCAGCTCTCCTTTGAGCAGAGAAGGTTATGGGTGATTTGGTGGAGCTAGTGAAAATTTGGAGTTTTGTCAGAGATTTTACTAAGAAACAGTTCCAACTAGCAGGAAGAATCAGCTACCAAAGGGATGAACATTTCCGGATAAATGGCAAAATAAAGAACAATACAGAACAGGAACAGGCCCTTCAGCCCTCCAAGCCTGCACTGACACATTTTACCCTTCCATACTAAAACTGTCTTCACTTACAGGATCCGTATCCCTCTATTCCCTTCCTATTCATGTATTTGTCCAGGTGTTTCTTGAATGCCGCTATTGTGTCTGCTTCCACCACCTCCTCTGGCAACACATTCCAGGCATTCACCACCCTTTGTGTCAAAAACTTGCACCTCTCTTTTGACACCATCTCTACCCCCACCACACCTTGAACCTGTGTCTCCTAGTTATTGACCCCTCCACCCTGGGAAAAAAAACCTCATATTTTCCACTCTGTCCATGCCATTCATGATCTTCTTGACTTCTATCAGGTCACCCCTCAACCTCCTGCATTCCAGTGTAAACAAACCCAGTGTATCCAACCTTTCCTCATAGCGAAAATCCCCCATACCAGGCAACATCTTGGTAATCCTTTTCTGTAAGCATCCAAAGAATCCACATCCTCCTGGTAGTGTGGTGACCAGAACTGTACACAATATCCCAAGCATGGCTAAACTAAAGTTCTATAAAACTGCAGCATAACTTGTCGATCCTTATACTCAATGTCCCTTCCAATGAAGGCAAGCATGCCTTAAGCCTTTTATACTGCCTTATCTACCTGTGCTGCCACTTTCAGTAATCTGTGGACCTACACACCCAGATCAAGGTTTGGCAAGTTATATTTGACACAATTATTGTGATCTGGAATGTGCTTGAAAGAATGGTGGAAGCAAATTTAATAGATTTACAAAAATCTTAATAAACTTTCAAAAAAATGAAAAGCTGAAGGGTTATGGGGAGGGGTAAAGGAGGTTGGGAATCACAGAACAGTTCTTTCAAAGAGCCAACTTTGGCACAATGGGCCAAATGGCCTCCTGGCTATATGACATAGCCCTTTATCCCCTACTCACCCAGCCAATATTCACCGTCAGCAGTCCCAAAGCCCCGTTTATAATCGTCCCATCCTCTGTAGAAGTCAACAGAGCCATTGTTCCTTCTCTGTAATACCTTTGTAAGTACAAGGAAGCAGAGTAAAAATGCTTTGTCACAAAGAGAGAGCGTGTGCACACGAGACAGACATTGTGTGGCACTGTTGCTGAGCTAGTGATCCAGAGGCATGTGTTCAAATCCCACCATCCCAACCAGTGGAAGTTAGTTTAAGCATTTAATTCATGCGGAATTCTCTCTCAGTCACCGTGACAACTATCAATGATTGTAGTGAAAATCCATCTGATTTACTAACATCCTTTAAGTGCTGTGGGAGACAAGCCCCAGCAGCGAAAGCCAAGTCTTTTGCTCCACGAGCAGCTCAGCTGTACAGGGTGGGGATAAAATTGTAACAAAAGTAATGACAGGGGATTGGATCGTAAGGGCAACAGATAGATGCTTCCACAGCTGGTGGTATGACACGAGGGTGGTATGTTGCCTCCCTGGTGCCAGGGTCAAGGATGTCACCGATTGGTTTCATCATATCCTGAAGGAGAAGGCTGAAGAGTCAGAGGTCGTGGTCCATGAGGGTTGAGACCCTGCAAGTAGAGAAAGGAGGAGACGGCTGGCTAAGGTCTTTCTGCCAAAGTATAATGAGGGCCTGACAAACAAAAACAGAAGTTGCTGGAAAAGCTCAGCACTTCTGGCAGCATCTGTGGAGAGAAAGCAGAGTTAACGTTTTGGGTCAAGTGACCCTTCCTCAGAACTCAGAATGTTTTTGCAGCAATTTCTGGGGTTTTTTTTGTTTCTAATTTACAGCTCCCACAGTCCTTTCGGTTTTCATAATGAGGGCCTATACATTTCCTGGTACCCTCGTAGCCTTGATGGGAATGTAACTATTTTCCTTTCGTGATTAGCATATGCTTTTTTTTTGTAACTGAATTGAAGCTGTAATGAGAAATATCAACATTTCACTGTATTTTGTATGGATCTGTTTTGTACTTGTTTTGTTTACTTATAGATAATTTATGAATAAAGTATATTTTTGAAATTTAAGAAAAAATGGGTGTAGTAATCTCATGATTATTCGGAGATGGTAAGAACTGCAGATGCTGGAGTCAGAGTCGATACAGTGTGGAGCTGGAGGAACACAGCAGGTCAGGTAGCATCAGAGGAGCAGGAAAGTCGATGTTTCAACAGGGGTTCCTGATGGTTGGTATTACATGCTGAAGATGGGGTGATGCGAGGGGGAGGA